CCCCAAAACCCCAAAACCCCAAAACCCCAAAACCCCTAATTGCTATAATTTGTTATATAATTTTATAATCATAAATTAAAAATCAACTTAAATTATTATCTTTTCGGCATAAAATTAAAATGAGTGATTCTCACGAAAGTACCTAAGATCAGCAGGAGTCGTCCAACACTAACAGTCATAGCTAGCAAAGAAGCCAGTCAGCTCCAAAGGAAGCAAAAAGTGAATCAATTTAATATTCCACACCCTTCTCCAACGCTTTCCCAATTTTGCTTGATGAGACAGAGAAATAGGAAATTTTGGAATAGTACTGGGACAGAGATATAAGTGATTAGGAATTTAACAAATTATCAGCAGAGCTAAAGCTAAAACTTATAGCAAGGAAGCTGAAAATGAAGTAGGAAATGTTTAACCCAAACTATTTAATAATGAACTCTACGTTCCTCAATTCTGAAATTCAAGCTTTAAGTCAAAACGAGCCCGAGGGCTAGTACATTTCACAACTAATGGATTGTTCCAATAAGCTTGATGCGAAATCAAAAATGCTTTGTATAATGAGTATTGATTGCAAAAGCCAGTTTTTGAAGTATTAGAGATGCCTAGCACAGTACTAGAAATCTACTTTCTTATGTAAAGTTCCAAAAATAGAGATGAGAGATTGCTATTAGCGAAACTTAAAGGCTGCTAATCTTATTATCAATAGAATGGATTGATGAAAGTGAGGGAATCATAATTAGATTCAACTCTTAGAATAGTCCTCTATAGAATGGCTAGGTACACTCTGCCTTGTAATAATCAACCATGATGATAGCTGATAATAGAGAGGAAGAATTTATATAAATAGCTTAATTATAATTCTTAATTTTAACCAATTCTTGATAAAATAATTACTTCTACTTATCATTGGAGGCTAACTTTAAAGATAATTATCGTGTCTTGCTCTTCTCTCGGACTAACAATCAAATAATTCTGATTGCCTCTTTCTACTTAGCAGTACGAGATGATGGCATTTGGCTTTTCCTTAAGTTCAAAGATTTTTCTTTTTCTCTGTTCTTCTAACTCTCTGAGTACCTGGAATTGAAACTCTTGCATGTGAGGACCAGGCCCAATAGATACTCCACACTCATAAAATGTCTTATATGAATAGCCAATACAAGCTTCACCTATCATTCCAAGTTCGAAATTGAATTCTTTTGGGTTTACTCTAATCAAGAATTACATTGGCTAGTTGGTATTGATTGATCTTATTAAATTTTGATTCAAAATATCATATATTCTCAGTTCTTTGTCTGTTGATACTGCCAAGTATGATGTCTGCATTTACTTCAAGCAGTGAATTAGTTAGCCTTCAATTGAAATGGCTTGATAAGAATTTTTCTCACTGTTTAACCCGAAATAATTGTACAGACATACCCTATGCTACATATTCTTGCCTTGCAACACAAAAGCCATCATTGTTTGAGGCACGCCATTACCCTCATAGCCTAGACTGTTCTGCTGATTATTCTCCAGTTCCACGAATATTTAAAAAGGTCTGTGTATTTCTGTGATATATTAGAGTGGATGAAATTTAGCAATTTCTCTTGGAACAAGACCTGAATCCCATATTCTGTAAACTCCACCTTTGGATACAGTCACAAAATTGTGACCTGGGAAGTGTTGAAGGTACTAAAGAAGGGATAATGGCTGTGGAAGATAATGCTAGAACTGATTCACAGATCTAGTTTTAAAATTGATCAAATAGCAGTGGTCACCTCTGTACCCTGCCAAGATATGCATTTCACTATGGTTATAAATATCTAGATCTGCCAATGGCTATTCCTCATTTTCAATCTGAATTTGGTCTACTGTTTCTCCATTTTCCAAGTTTTTAATTACTATCTCATTTGAGGCATATCCAATGACAAATAGATCATCTCTGAGATGAAGTACTTTTACTATAAATCTGTCTTCTCCACCTTTTATAGTTTTTCTATGTTTGATTCTAGCGCTAAAAACAGTTGGAATACAACTTCTGAAAACATTGTTCTCTTGCTTTTCATAGAATTATCTAGTGAATTTTGACAATGTGCTCAGAAACAATCTTGCTCTAGCTTAGGTAAAATACTGTAAGATTCCTAGAGTTGATCCTAGTGAGTAGCAAAACAATTACTATCCGTTGTTAGTTGTAATTTCCATCTTAGATTTAAATCTTGTGAGTGGATTTGAGTAATAAATTTATTTGAATTGAAATTTTTATTAGACTAAAATCTCTCAGTTAATTTATACTGTATTATAGGTGAATTTTACATCAGATTGTCAAATTAGCTCTAATTTTTCATCAGGGGTTTTGGGGTTTTGGGGTTTTGGGGTTTTGGGG